CGGGCGCCTTTAGTCCCAGCTACTCGGGAGGCTGAGGCAGGAGAATGGCGTGAACCCAGGAGGCGGAGCTTGTAGTGAGCCGAGATCGCGCCACTGCACTCCAGCCTGGGTGACAGAGCAAGACTCTGTCTCAAAAAAAAAAAAATCTCTAATTTTTATTTTTAATAATATTATTTTCAGTATATCTTTACCCAATGATATCTAGTTGAATACAACTATAGTCTGGTTGGAATTTTTTTTCCTTTTATTTAATCTTTAAAATTATCATACAGTCAAACTGGCCTTTTTTGGGAGGTGTGTAGTTCTATGAATTTTAACACGTTGTTAATTCATGTAACCACTACCACAACTGGGAACAATTCCTTCAACCTCCCCAAAAAAACTCCCTCATACTATTCCTGTGTAGTCAGACCCTACCCTTACCCCTAAACCCTGGTAACCATTGATCTATTCTCCTTTACCATAGTTTTCTTTTTTCCAGAATGTCATAGAAATGAAATCATACAGAACATAACCATGGAAGTTGGCTTCTTTCTCTCAACAAAATGCCATTAGATTAATTGAAGTAGTTATGTTTATCAATAGTTTCTTTCTTTGCTAAGTTGTTGGTTGAAATTTTACGGCATCCTGATATTACATCAGATCTGATAAGCTGGCACTGAATTTTTTTAAAACTATGAACATTTTTCATATTAGTTAACTGAGATGCTTATAGTTAATTTTTTTAATTGGAATTTGTTGTTTTGTTTGTTTTCACAGTATTTTCAGTTTTATTATAAAAGTACACACCCAATAAAGATTAAGTCATTTCTTAACTCTGCCTGCATTCAACACTTGCTCTTTTTATTTATTTTATTTTATTTATTTTTAGAGACAAGGTCTCGCTACTAGGCTGGTCTTGAACTCCTGGCCTCAAGTGATCCTCCCACCTCGTCCTCCCTAAGTGCTGGGATAACAGGCGTGAGCCACCGTGCCCGGCCAACACTTGCTCTTGAGCAGCTTTCTTTGCTTTTACCATCTTGACAAGTTCGTTGCATCTTTTCATGCAGCCTTTCTTTGTCCTGCCAGGTACTGCTTGTGCTATTTTCTCTCATCTTTCAGGTGTGTTGACTGGGTATGTTTTCAACACTTGTTCAAAAAGCTTCTGTTCATTGTCCAAGGGGTGAAGTGGGTGCATGAACCTTAAAATCATTCTGAAGGTGTTTCATTGTCTGCTTGAGGCAATGTTCTTTTTAAAGTTTATCAAAAACCTTTTTTGTTTGTCATCTTTTTGATGAGGGTCCAATTTTTGGAGGCTCTTTGCTTTGCCAGTAACACCTTTGGTGGTTGTCTTGACATCAGTAGAAGAATGTATGTTGATGTAATTAGCAATAACTTCCCAACTTCCCATCTTGAATTCATTCCAGCAGGGAAGAGATTCATAGCCTTAACTTGTAGCTGCAGATGTCTTCTTACCAGTTGTTGTTGTCACTTCCACCTCTGGCAGTATTTCGCTGCATTCTTAGATGCTTATCACATATGAGCCCCAGCTTCCTGTTTCTCTTTTGTAATTTGTTCATTCATTTCTTCTGTTTTTCCAGAGCAACCATTCCTACTTCTTTTATAGATGATGTATTTCATTCAAGTACTATAAGCTTTTTAGTTCAAGCTGATTACAAAGTTTTTCTACTTCTTCCATCATTTCTTTTTTTTTCTTTTTTGAGACAGGGTCTCCCCCCCGTCACCCAGGTTGGAGTGCACTGGTGCCATCATAACTCACTGCAGCCTTGAACTCCTGGCCTCAGGCAGTCCTTCCACCTTGGCCTCCCAAAGTTCTAGGATTACAGGCATGAGCCATTGCCTGGCCTTCTTCTATCATTTTAACCTACCCTGCCTCATTGTTGGAAAAGTGATTCCAGATCTTAGATGAGTTTCCAAGTTTTTGCCTTTCTTTCTTTTTCCTTTTCTTTTTCTTTCTTTCTTTTCTTTTTTTTTTTTTTTTAGGCAGATGAGGTCTTACTATGTTGCTCAGGCTGGAGTGCAGTGGCTGTTCACAGGCATGATCATAGCCACTACAGCCTCAAACTCCTTGGCTCAAGCAGTCCTTCTGCCTCAGCCTCCCAAGTAGCTGGGAGTATAGGTGTATGTCACCCACCTAGCTTGCCATTCCTTTGTAATTTTTTTTTTTTCTTCTTTTTTGGATGTCTTTTTCTTTCTTTGCCAATAATACTTGTTGTCTAATTATCAGTTCTTTCTCCTTTGCTAATTGAGCAGCTTCTAATTCAGCTTATCTTTGTTTTTCTATAGCTTCTTGCTCCTTTCGTTTTGCTTTTGTGTTGTTTTTAAATTGTGAACTTTTTTTCATTTCAATTCAGTGATTTGCATATGTAGCTAAGCAAGGCAGTTACAGTGTTTGCATTGCTTTGGAAATTCTTGTTATTTTATTGGGCTAAAATATTAATAACAAGTTTCTAAAGGCAAAATTTGAGATAGAAGAAAGTATTTTTCCAGTTTGTAAGGGAAATAAATTGCGCTATGACCTTTCTTAATGTCAGTGCCAAAGACCTGGCAGAATTTTCTTTGCTTTTGTTCCAGGCCTCTTCCCACCCTGACTTTCTGGTCTACGGTGAACCAGGCACCTCTTTTGTCTGATAATCTGTTTCAGTGTGCTTGCTCCTAGAGTGCCCTCCTTTGTTGATTACAGTAGTCTGTTCATTTTGATTTAGTCAAATTTATGTGCATAAACTCTTTGCATTGTAAACTTAGTTTGATTCTTGAGATTTAGTTTGATCTTGAGAGCTGGTTCCTTTCTTAGTTGACAGAGATATAATGGTTTTATTATCCCCAGCTGCTGAAAATGGAGGCCTCCTGATAGTTGTATGTTTTGGCAAGAAAGCAATCTAATATGAATTGGATAAAACTATATCATGATAGTCACACATTAAAATAATGGGTTAACACTATTAAGAATGGGGTATGAGGCCAGGCATGGTGGCTCAGGCCTGTAATCCCAGCACTTTGGGAGACCAAGGTGGGCGGATCACCTGAGGTCAGGAGTTCGAGACCAGCCTGGCTAACATGGTGAAACCTCTTCTCTACTAAAAATACAAAAATTAGCTGGGCGTCGTGGCACACTCTTGTAATCCCAGCTACTAGGGAGGCTGAGGCAGAATTGCTTGAACCTGGGAGGTAGAGGTTGCAGTGAGCTGAAATCGGCCACTGCACTCCTGCCTGGACGACAGAGCAAGACTCCATCTTAAAAAAAAAGAATGGGGTATGCTTCAAAACCAAAGAACCATGAATAATCCATCACTTATTAAATATATATATATATAAGGTTTTGAAGAACAGAGATAAAACTTGGTTCCATTTTTACTAGTACTCTACCTGGTAATAGGAGTTAGAAACTTTAACTTTTTTTTTTTTTTTTTTTGAGACAGAGTCTCACTCTGTCACCCAGGCTGGAGTACAGTGACACAATCTTGGCGTACTGCAACCTCCACCTCCCGGGTTCAAGTGATTCTTCTGCCTCAGGCTCCTGAGGAGCTGGGACTACAGGCATGCACCACCACACCTGGTTAATTTTTTTTGTATTTTTAGTAGAGATGGGGTTTCACCATGTGGGCCAGACTAGCCTCGAACTCCTGACCTTGTGATCTGCCTGTCTCAGCCTCCCAAAGTGCTGGGATTACAAGCTTGAGCCACTGTGCCCGGCCTAGAAACTTAACATTTATAATTCAAGATCATTTACTAAAGGTTTACGCTTCAATTTTCTTTCTTTATTTTGTAGTATTATTTTTTGAGACAGGGTCTCACTCTGTCACCCAGGCTGTAGTGCAGTGGCACCATCATGACTCACTGCAGCCTCTACTTCCTGGGTTTTAGCAATCCTCCCACCTCAGTCTCTCAAGTAGCCTCAACGACAGGTGCATACCACCAAGTCTGGCTGTTTTTTGTGTTTTTGGTAGAGACAGGCACCATGTTGCCCAGGCTGCTTTCCAACTGCTGGGCTCAAGCTATCTACCCACCTCAGCCTCCCAAAGTGTTGGGATTACAGGCGTGAGCCACCACGCCTGGCTTTATGCTTCAATTTTCTAAAATAAATTATGGAGTTAATTTCTGACTTTCACACTTAACTATATTCTTTTATGATTTGGGCTCTTTCAATTAGGTCTAATCCCAGTTTTCACAGAAGCATTAACAGAAAAGCCAAAGGGGGAACAACTCCATCAGCAAATAAATGGCTTTACAGTACATGTTTTCCATTTGATTGTAATTAAAATAATTTTTGGCGTGGACTATTTTGGGATATCGTTAAGCATACATTCTTCCTTAGATGACTTTAGTGAAAGTAATATTTACCCACTTCTCCATTGTCTTTTTCCTTAGATTTTAACCTTTGAGACCAAGAACCCGTCGGAATTAGCAGAACGTTTGCGCTCTGTTTGTGGGAATCAGAGCAATGCCTATGCCCGGCTGCTGGAATACCGCCTGAATGCCTTGCGAGGACTGTGGAATGCCCAGCGCCAGCTGGCCTTAGAAGAACAGCATGAAAGGGAAAGTTCAGGTGATGAGGAAACTTTGGCCCTGCTCAAACGCCAGGGCTTGTTGCAGCAACCTGAGCAAGCGCCCTTCACATCAAGGATGGGGCTCCTACTGGTCTTCCCCCTTATTCAGTCCCAGAGTAGAACAGACCCCTCTCTCTGTAACATAACTGCTGAGGTGCTATTGAACTGCCTTCGTGACTGCCAGCCTTTGAGCTTGACCAAGGAGCCTGCTGACTGTCTCAATGGAATTGAAACTTTGCTGTGCTCTTGGCTAGAGGAGACTTCTGACACAGGCCGACACATCCCACATAAGCAAAAAGAAAATGCTGCTGCTGCCCTGGTGGCTTTGGCTTGTGCCAGGTAAGGAAAATCGAATGTATCATTTGGTGACCCTGTGACTACTGCCACCTGGTTTGGGTGAATGAAGAAGAGGCCAAGTATATTTGACAGAAGTCTTAACATTTAGAAGTCCTTCTTTGTTTTCAGTATTGAATTTCACCGCCTTGACAGTGCATGAGATGCTTTTGCCAAACTTGGCACCAGGTGCCTGAGCTGGAACCCAAGTTCACGTTTTCCATTTCTGGTATACCATGATAACAGCTTAAACAGCAGAAAAGGGAGAATCAACCCTTGACATATCTAATCGTCCCTTAGACGGTTAGTGTTTTACATCAGGTAGTTAGCAGAGGATGTTATGTCTGCTTCTCCTAGGAGGATGGTCAAAAATTTATAGAGGTATTAATTTTTCATGCTTGTCTATAAGAAGTACATCAGCAAGTTAGTGAGCTATTATTCACCTGGACTCCATCACAAAATTGATCACAAATTATATTTTTGGACCTAATACTTGTTTTGATCACTTTAATTGGAAGATTTCTCAGTATATATCCAGATTTAATAGTAGTACATATGGCCGGACGTGGTGGCTCATGCTTGTAATCCTAGCACTTTGGGAGGCTGAGGTGAGCAGATCACTTGAGGTTAGGAGTTCTAGACTGCCCTGGCCAACATGGTGAAACCCTGTCTCTACTAAAAATACAAAAATTAGCTGGGCGCTGTGGTGGGCGCCTGTAATCCCAGCTACCTGGAGGCTGAGGCAGGAGAATCATTTAAACCCAGGAAGTGGAGGTTGCAATGAGCCAAGTTGGCACCACTGCACCCTAACCTGGGTGACAGACCAAGACTCTGTCTTTAAAAAAAAAAAAAAAAGTAGTATGCTGTTCTTCATGTACAAGTCATCAGCCCACTGTCAATAGGAAATATGCTTAGAGTTGCTTTTCTTTTTGCTTTTCTCTTTTCTTTTTCTTTTTGCTTTTCTCTTTTCTTTTTCTTTTCTTCTCTTCTCTTCTCTTCTCTTCTCTTCTCTTCTCTTCTCTTCTCTTCTCTACTCTTCTCTTCTCTTCTCTTCTCTTTTTTTTGAGACAGTCTCACTCTGTCACCCAGGCTGGAGTGCAGTGGCATGATCTTGGCTCACTGCAACTTCCACCTCCCGGATTCAAGTGATTCTCCTGCCTCAGCCTCCCGAGTAGCTGGGATTACAGGTGCCCAACTAAATTTTTTGTATTTTTAGTAGAGATAGGGTTTCATCATGTTGGCCAGACTGGTCTCAAATTCCTGACCTGAGGTGATCCGCCCACCTCAGCCTCCGAAAGTACTGGGATACAGGCATGAGCCACTGTGCCTGGCCTATTCTCTTTTTTTATTTTTTTTGAGATGGAGTGTTGCTCTCAAAGACTAGGCTGAAGTACAGTGATATGATCTGAGCTCACTGTAACTTCTGCCTCCCTGGCTCAAGTGATCCTCCCACCTCAGCCTCCCGAGTAGCTGGGACTACAGGCACCTGCCACCATGGCTGGCTAATTTTGTGTATCTTTGGTAGAGACAGGATTTCCCTTTGTTGCCCAGGCTGCTCTCAAACTCCTGAGGTTAAGCAGTCTGCTGGCCTCGGTGGGATTACAGGCATGAGCCACCCCGCCAGGCCTGGAGTTGCTTTTCTAGGAATATACATTCTTCTACCCAGTGACCCATATGATCACTGGCATCTGTTTGTGAGAAAGAAGTTTCACTACCTTTGTTTTCCTCTAGACTAATTGCCTAGAGAACAGTTAGGACCACAGCCTGACAGACTAGTGTCACTATTCTGTCTGTCTTCCATAGAATTTTTTCCTTGGTTGGGATCTTCTTTCTTTTAGCCAAACATTTGTGGGAGAATTTTTCTTGAATAATTATGAAGTTCTTAGTTATAAGTCTTCTTCCCCTGTTTTTCTCTTTATAGTTTCAAAGTAGACCTTCAAATGATTGCATCTCAAGGGCTTTTTTTAAGGCAAAATGGCACCAGTATTTATTGTAAGTTTCTTTGCTCTGAGCAAGCTGTCATAGCCTAGTTTTAGATCCCCTGAAACTGTGGTTTGTGAATCCTGACATGTGCTTAATTTAAGTCATTGTGTGGTACTGAAATAAGTTTCCTTGTAAAGACTTTATATTGGATTGATTTATTTTCTGCATATGCAGAGACAATTTCAAGTCCGAGATCTGTTATCAATGTGAAAATTCCATTTGAGAAAATTTGCTTTTAGACAGTACTATCTTTAGACAGATTTAGGATGTTAGGAATAATTATCAACTCTTTAGTTTCAAACAGTTTAAGTTATTAATCGTTGGTTCATAAAACTCACATTTTTATTATGTACCCAAATTCAGTCTATACCAAAGATAGTTATTGAAATTACTTCCTGTACTTGAGATTCTAAATTTCATTCAGCAGAAATGTTGAAATGGATGTTTTTATTTATTTATTCTTCTTGTGTGTTTTTTTTTTACATGGTTCCTACATTTTATTGCTAATACATTGTTCTGGACTTCAGAAGTCATGTGCTTTTCAGTGTTAGATCATCTTACTAAAGTTATTAGTGGCATATTATTGAATTTTTTGGTTGATGCTCTCAAAGACAGAGTAACCATTCCCCAAAATTATTATGAAGATGTTTATTCATTCAACCAACTAACATTTATTGAACATTTCTGATGTGCGGGAATCTTGTCCAGTCTTAGGGATGTAGTGATTCTAGGTTTCTTACCTCACAGAGCTTATGGTTGAATGGACTCAGGGTGAGTCATTCTGCAAAACCTTATTGCTTACTTACTGCATGGAAGGCATTCTCTTGGTGGTAGGGATACCGTGGAGAGCAGTTAGACCGTGCCTAATATTGCAGAGTTTATGTAAGAGTGAGGGAGGCAGACCGTGAGCAACAAATATAGGTAAAAGATCATTGTAGAGAGGAATATTCACTATATGAAAAGACAGATATTTTGATAGAGAATGACTGTGGCGGTAGGGAGCAGCATTAGCTGGAGATGCCAGGGAAGGCCTTACTGAAGAGGTAACACTTGGCCCTGGATGATGAGAAACAGCCAGCAGCAGAGAGTTCCACATAAATGGAGTGGCGAGTGACAAAACTGACATTCTTCTTGTGCCTGGGGTAGCTGAGGGGACAGCACAGTGGGCAGGGTTTCTGGAACGTGATGGTAGAAGGAGAGGGGCAGGAGATGAGGTTGGCAGGACTCAGATCACATAGGGGCTTGTGATCCATGGAAGGACTTTACATTTTACTCTTAAAATCTGATCGAAGGCTGGGTATGGTGGCTCATGTCTATAATTTCAGCACTTTGGGAGGCTGAAGCAAGAGGATCTCTTGAGGCCAGGAGTTCGAGACCAGTCTAGGCAACGTAATGAGACCCTGTCTCCTTTTTTTTTTTTTTTTAAAAGACATGGTCTCATTCTGTTGCCCGAGCTGGAGTGCAGTGGTGTGATCATAGGTCACTGCAACCTTGAACTTCTGGGTTCAAGCAATCCTCCTGCCTCAGCCTCCCAAAGTTCTGGGATTGCAGGTGTGAGTCACTGCACCCAGCCAGACCCTGTCTCTTTTAAAAAAACAAATCTGATTGCATCTGGCAGGTAGTAATTCCTTGGAGTTGGTTAATAGTTCTAAACTTTCCAAATGTTAAAGGTTTTGCTTTTTTATTTTAAACCTCACTGTTCCCCAGGGAAGTGTCCCTGCTGGGCAGATGAAGAAGCAAAAATCCATAGGAGTTAGGTGACGGGACTGAGATTGTGCAACTGGTGAGTGGCAGAGCCAGGTTTTAGAACCCATGTGTCCCGATTCCAACTTGTTTTTCTGCTCTATCTGCTGCCTCCTTGCCTTCTATTAATGCTATTCTTTGATTTTTATTCTCTGAAACTAGAGATAGCGAGAGGGGCAATTAAGAGGAGGACTCTAGGCCTACTTGGTTCTGCATTAGGTATTCCATTTCTATTGGTGTTTAGGCATGTGATACCCAGCAATTAAAACCTTGGCTAAGAGACTAAGGCAGCAAGTTGAAGTCAGCCCATCTGATACAGGCGATCATTTAGTTCAGGAAGTGTTCTTGTGGTGATTTGTACTTGGATTGCAGCCAGGTAAGTCTGTGCATCTTAAAAGCACCTTCTTTTAGATCTTGCTGACCATATGACAGACTTCCTAGAGCCTTGAGTCTTGGAAACCACAAGGAATTCTGGTAATGGTGAGCCCTGTTGCAAATATTACAGCTATGTGCAGTCAGAGGGATGCAGAAGGAGCATCTCTCAGCACAAAGCATTATTTATTTGAATATATTCCTTCTGGTCATATTTAATGTGATATTTATTTGAATATATTCCTTCTGGTCATATTTAATGTGATGGAGTTTAGTGAGCTGTTTTTCAAAATGAATGAACTTAGCAAAGATTTGAAAATCAAGTCTGGAAATACTGTTAGACTCTATGATCCTCCAGAGCGTGAGTTGGTGATAGAGTAACCAAGCATAATAGCCACAAGTTCTCTGTGCTCGAGCCTTATGGTTTTGAACTTTTATGTTAGGGGAAAATTGTTTACTTTTCCAAATGCAAGGAGAACTCCTTCATAATTGGCATAGTGTTGTTTTCATTGTATCTTTGTGTTTGAACCAATGGTGATAGTTAATAATCAAGTATATTTTGTACAGCACATCATCTGACCAGCAGAAGCAGAGAGACACATTTTGGAACTTTTCCATGTGGTTAATTAAATTAGCATTAATGACCTAAATTATTTGACTTTAAATTTTGATGATTTACTGTTCTTTCCTTTTATTTTTAGGGGATCATTGAAAACTTTCGTCCATACAGTCCATCTATTACAGAAACAGACGGATCTAGGGTCCCTGCCTGTAGCTGACGTGCTATATAGGTAAGCTGTCATTTTGTATCCTTATCCTCCTTCCAAACTAGGCAGATTTGTGCCAAATGCTTCCTTTATTAAGTAGATTGCTAAACTCTTATCAATTAGTGATTGATTTTTAAATCAGTATAGACTCATGTTTACCTTCTTAAGTAAGAATTTTATTTTTTATCTTTCCTTTTTGGAAAGTTTTTAGAGCATGTTATTTTTCATTATTTTTTAGTTCAATGTCTTTAAAAATGCCATAGCTGGTGGGACACAATAACTCATGAGTGTGGTGGTACGTGCTTGTGGTCCCAGCTATTAGGGAGGCTGAAGCAGGAGGATTGCTTGAGGCTGTGAGGCAGAGGTTACAGTGAGCCGAGATCACACCACTGCACTCCAGCCTGGGTGACAGGGCGAGACTCTGTTTCAAAAAATAAAAATCCAATAGCTTATAATGAATTCTGATGTAAATTTTGAGATGATAATATATTAAGGTATAAAGAAGAAAGTGAAAATCATTCATAATCTCATTACCCAAAGATAACTACTCCTAACGTTTTGGTACATATGCTTCCTAATTCATAACCCACTCTGTCTCTCTCTCACACACAAAAATACACATAAAATAGTACACTTTACGCACAGGTATAATTTTATTGTAACGTTTTTATAAACACAGCTCCGTAATTTTTTAATTTAAAAATATTGTAGCTGGGTGTGATGGCTCATGCCTGTAATCTCAGCACTTTGGGAGGTCGAGGCGGGAGGATCACTTAAGGTCAAGAGTTCAAGACCAGCCTGCCAACATGGCAAAACCCCATCTCTACTAAAAATACAAAAAAACTAGCCAGGTGTGGTGGCGGGTGCCTATAATCCCAGCTACTCAGGAGGCTGAGGCAGGAGAATGGCATGAACCCAGGAGGCAGAGGTTGCAGTGAGCTGAGATCGCACCACTGCACTCCAGCCTGGGTGACAGAGCGAGACTCTGTCTAAAAAAAAGAAAAATAAAAAATAAAAATACTGTGAATATCTTTTTTGAATAATATTTCTATAAAATATTATACATCTTAGTTTTAAGATTTTGGTTTCTACTCTTTGGGGTAACAGGTATACTTCTTGCTGAAATGGATTGTCTCAGTGTCTTTGTGATTTTCTTTCTGTCCCATATAGGCTGTTGCTTTTGGAAGGGGGGCCTGGATCTCCCTCCTGTTTGCTTGGGGGCAAACACATAGTGTCATGGGGTTATGAAGACATGTTGCCTGCGCCAGATAGCAACACTGGCTCCAGTTCTGAAAATAAAGGTAATGTAAAAGTTTTTGTCCTGTGATTAATAGTAAGATGTAAATAAAGTGGTTTTAGATCACTGTAGCAAATGATTGGGATATAACTTTGTGTGTTCCTTTTAATTAAGAGCTCAAGATTTCTATTCAGTATGTTCATTGTCTGCTTTATCAGTAAAAGTATAAAAGCTGATACTGGTGATGTAAGAAAATGGATAGGTTTTATTATCACAAGGAAAAGGTATCATCCATACACTCTTGCCAAGGAGCCATGAATTACTTAAATTGACTACTGGATATTTGAGTTTGGGTATGATAGCCTTAAGTTGAATTTTCTTGTCTGCTAATAGAATATCAGTTCTTACTGCTTGATAATATTTCCTTTAGTAATTTTTCTGTGTGTTAATGAGCTCTCCTGTTCTAAAAGCAAAAAATGAAGAGGTTCAAGGGAGCATGCATTGTTAACATCTCCTTTAAACAAGTAGGCTAGGTTAAAATGTTTTTACAGAGCTTTACAATATTACATGTCAGTTTCTTACATTATCTCAACAAATGGCAGAAGCTGTCTTAACGGGCTTGCCAGATGGGTTAGACCTCTCCATTCACTCAATAAAATGTCTAGGCTGCTGCCCTGCCGTGGTCCACTGAACCCACAGGGCTGGTCAGCTCTGCTCCCACCAGTGGAGTTGCAGGCTTACTCCCAAACCAGTTTGTTAATTGTAACTGGTACTTACTGTTGTGATAATATCATTAAATCTTACATAACTGATGAAATAGGAATGAAAAAAAAAAAAAGGAAATAGTTGCCATTAAGAAATTGAATGTTTTAGAAAGACTCCACGAAGTGAGTCTCTAAGAAACTGGCGTTCATCAGGTGTGGGATTGAGAGTCTGTTCCTCCCTCCCTTTCATTTCCCACCCTCCATGGGGCAGCCTTCCTGGGCAACCCCACCAGCACAGAGGAGAATCTAAGCGGCAGGCCCCCTCGCATCTCTCAGCCCAGGGCTTGTGCCTTTCCATGGTCTACTATTTCTTCTAAACAGGCATGCGAGTGTGTGGAGAAGAAGAGGCAAGGCTTTTAGGTATGGTTTATTTCCTTCACTGACTCAACCAGAGTCAACAGGAGAGGGAGATGCCTGCAGTACCCAAGAAGTTCTCAGACATTATAGGCTCCAACTTCTTAACACAGAAAACTTCTTTCTTGATTTTCTCCTTTTAAAAAACTCCATTTGGTATCTTTCTGGGTGTAGTTTCTCACTGAGGAGGATGGTATTAAGCTGGTCTGTTTGCTTTCATTTTCCTGAACTTTTGGTTTTGCGTCTAGGGAGAGAATGGTTTTCTTTTTTTTCTCTCTCTTTTTTTTCTTTTCTTGCTTTTCTTTTTTTTTTTTTTTCGAGATGGGGTCTTGCTCTGTTGCCCAAGTTGGAGTGCAGTGGTGCAATCACAACTGCAGCCTCGGCTTTCCAGGCTCAAGCCATCCTTCCACCTTAGCCTTCTAGGTAGCTGGGACCACAGGCACACACCAACAGGCCTGGATTATTTATTTCTTTGTTTGTTTGTTTGTTTGTTTGTTTGTTTATGTAGAGACTAGGATCTCGCTTTGTTGCCCAAGCTGGTCTTTAACTCCTAGGCTCAAGCCATCCTCCCATCACCTCTGCTTCCTGAAGTGCCAGGATTACAGGTGCGATCCACGGCACCTGGCCTGTTTTTCTTATAATAGTTTTTAGACTAATTTACGTAATTTTTTTTTTTTTTTTTTTTGAGATGGAGGTTCGCTCTCGTTGCCCAGGCTAGAGTGCAATGGCGCGATCTTGGCTCACTACAACCCCTGCCTCCCAGGTTCAAGCGATTCTCCTGCCTCAGCCTCCATGGTAGCTGGGATTACAAGTGCCCACCACCATGCCTGGCTAATTTGTGTGTTTTTAGTAGAGATGGGGTTTCGCCATGTTGGCCAGGCTGGTCTTGAACTCCTGACTTCAGGTGATCTGCCTGCCTTGGCCTCCCAAAGTGTTGGGATTACAGACATGAGCCACCGTGCCCAGCTGCAATGTAACTTGTAATATTGGAACATTCTACATTCGACTGAAGTTGAGAGAACACTATAATAAGCCCTGTGTACTCATTACTCAGCTTCAACAAGTATCTACTCCTGGCCAATCTTGTTTTGTTTGTCCTTTTCACTTTTGCCCCTCGACAGAGCCATACCCAGAAGGCCTTGGGCCTTAATCTAAAGATTGAGGAATAAATGTAGTCTATGAGCTTTAAATTACAATGTTTAAGGTGTGAAATTAGTGTTTTAAAAATGGTTACCCACTTTAACAAATTTTTTTATTGAGGAACCAATAGGTACAGGTCCCAGTTGTCTCAGATTAGTAGACTGAATTTTTAAGCTAATAGCATTTTTAGTACTAATTTGATGGTGTGACATTGCATTTCCTCCAGCTAAAATGGCATGCTTCAGGTGGAAAGACCCCACTTAAACATAGTGAGCAGAATGAGTATGAAAATAAACACTGAAGGTTTTATCCATAAGCTCTATTTTAAGGCAAATTCTTTGGAATATGAGTCACTAAACCAATTACTATCATATAGAGAGATACTGTTTTAGATTGAGGAAGACAGAGCTAAGGGGAAACATATTGCTGTTTTAAAATAGAAAAGATATTAAACTTTTGTGCTGTGTCCCTCCAGAGACTAAAATTAGGATCTCTGAATGGAAAATCTACAGAAGCAGATTGTAATTTAGTGTATATCATTAGTATATTAACACAATTTCATTTGCCATTTATGGAATACTGGCTTTGCATCAGAGAGCAGTATAGATGTATTTACCTCTATTATCTCATCTGGCCAACACTGTAACCCTTGAGGTACTTATTATTATCCACATCTTACAGATGAAGAAACTGATGTTCAAAGAGATTCAGAGTCACTTACTGAGCTCATAAGAGCTCATGCCTCTCTTACTATGCAATTACTAATAAAAGTGTTGTACTGTATTCTTAGTCATTTCAAATTAGAGTTAGGATTAGTCATTTCAAATTAGAATTAGGAATGACTTGACTCAGTACATGCTTTTCAAAAAAAAAAGAAAGAAAAACATTTGGTGGTCTAAACCACATTCCCCTGCTGGTAACTATCTGACCTTATTTTGGTCCCTGGTCCACATGCATTTTGGATGTTTGATTTGGGGGTTCAAGCCATCTTCCCTGAAAGTCACACTGAAGCTCTTATTTTAGAAGTGAGAGGTAATCTTTCATTTAACCTCCTAATGGCTTTTTCATTAGAAAAAGCATGTTTATAATTCCAATTGAAAAAACATATATATAATTTACCTGTGAAAAAACGATTTCAGATGCTGACTTGGGACGCTGTCTCACGGCAGACGGTCTTTACCTGTATACTACTAACTCAGTTGGAAGAGGAGTAAGCAAATTGGGGTCTGGATTACATGGTACTCTCAGGTCAGTTGCATGGAACTTCCTAAATGATTGGGCTGGAACATTTTCCTCCTTACATAAATCTCTGAAGAAGACACGGGGTAAATTCCGACTCCCCATAGACTAGTAACTAAATAACAAGTCTGAACTAATTCAAATAATTCCAATCTTCTCTTATTGCCACCTTTCCCCATCTTGTTCTGTTAATGCATTTTAGCCTTGTTTTGGCCCAGAAGAGTTTGGTAGCCCTAAGATCATTGTTTCCAGCCAGAAAGTCCTCTGTGATCAGTATTTTTGTAACAATATCAGTGACTTCTCCATGTTGATACGTGGACATTTTTCTACTTAAGTCTCTTTGAACTTGGGTTTGACATTGGATTGGCAAGTGATTTTCAGTTGGGATATAAGATCTATAAACTGTTGCCAAAAGAAACTGCAGTTTGAGAGCCTTGTATACATTTAGATCTTTTCCCCCAACTTTTTCTCCCCTCTAAGTTATTGTGGAAAGTCAATATTTGCTATAATTTTGCAGTCCTCAAATTGATGTAATACATTCACTTTCCTTCAGATGTTCTACATACTTAATCATTTTTAAAAATTAGGTCAAAAATGTTGTTTGTGTCTGTTGTAGCTTGTGTGAGGTTCCGACATAGCCGGGTGATTCAGCCTGTGCTCTGTTTCCTTCCACAGAGGTTTTGTGTACTGCCGGAATGAGGAGTTGGAACCAGGATGGGTGGCTTTTGGCAGTGGCAGTCTTCTCCACCGGCCTGTCTCTTTCGATAATAAACCTCACTCCCTTTTCCAGGTCATTGACCAGAACACCCTTCAGGTAAACAGAAAACCAAGGCATTTAAAAAATATATATATTTTAGAGGCAATAAAGTTCGTTCCTGACATCATCAGAAGTAATAATAATACAGTTGGTATATTTTCCTCCCAGAGTGGCATCCTTTTAATTGTTATAGTTTGGGCATTCTGCTTTTTATTTAATGTCTTAGACTTTTCCCATATGAACTGAGTGAATGTGTTCTCTAAGTTTCTACAGCCTACAACAAACTTTTTTTTATAATTAAGAAAAAATTCTAAACAGTCAAAGATGGTATAAATACTAGCTTTTTTTTTTTTTTTTTCTTTTTTCTTTTTTTGAACGAGATCTATTTTGGGAAGGCATCATTTCCTTATTCAATTTGTTCTAAACAGCCTCTCTGTGGGAAAGGGAGCTTTGAAATGAGTGTAGAGTAAAATCATTGTGTGCTAGGGATTGAGAGCTTGGCTTTAGTGCTCTCGTAAGCACTCTGCCATGGCACTTGCTATCTTACACTGCAGTTACCTGCTTTTCTGTCAAACTTCACTGACCATGCACACCTTTAGGTATGGACCCTGTCCTACTCATCTGTATATCCCTAGAACATAACACAGTACCTGACATTTGACTGATAATAACAACAATGATGGTAACTACCATTCCTCAGTATCTCCTATTTGCTAGGCCCTGGCCTAGGCAATTTACCTACTCTTCCTCTTCCTACCTGCGAGGCATTGCTATGTAGGTTTATCTTACAGATAAGGCAACTGAGTCTAGGCACCTAGTAAGCATTCAGTAAATGTTTATTGTTGAGTGAAAGAATACAGCTCAGAGAGGTTAAGTAACTTGCCTAAGGCCATACAGCCAATAGTAGCAGCACCAGAACTTGAACCTTTGGTTCTCTGCCCAGGAGTTTGAACTCTTTACACTGCAACTTTCTGCCTTTCAAACAAAGTTGGATTAAATGATTAGAGGTGGCATCTGTGGAGTGCTCAGAGAGTAGTCATATCTAGAAATTAAGTGAAATGTTACATTTCTTCTTGTCACTCAACTGCCTGTCCTAGAGAACAGGGACTGAGTCTTGTTCACCACTGTCATCTCCAGAGCACAATAGTAGGTGCTCAATAATTGTTGGATGAATAAAATGAACAAATTAACAAATAGATGCCCAATTAACCTAATTTCTTGTCACAAGTACAGTCAGATGAGAATGTCTCATACTCATTTGAAATAGAAGTTATAAGACTGGAAGTTAAACAGATGTTAAATCTCAGAACATGGTTTACATTTGAAGTAATTCCGGGTTCCTCAGTGTTGTTGCAGAAACTTTGACACTGTCCAGGAAAGCAGGGCTGTAGGTCACAAACTAGATATGTGCATTGGAATGGAGCACTTTGGGGATAACACAGGCCAATTAGTAGCTGTCAACTTTCTAGTCTTCCTGGCACTGTAGGTTCAAAGTATGGTTACATCAACTAAATGAGTTTTTACTTTTGAGCTAGACAAAACAGGTCTGGAAAAAAGTTCACGTGAAATCACTTGAGGGGTCAGAGATAGCCTTGGGAAAACTAGTGCCCCCTCCCAAAGTAATGGGGAATTGAACACTGTTCTTCTGTTCTCTGAAGGCATCTGACCTTCTCTAATTATTTTTATTTTGAGTTTCTCAGCTCTTCTATTTCTGGATTTTTTTTTTTTTTAAACCTAGCCAGCAGGTTTTTGTGGTCCTAATGTTCCATCATTTTAAGTGCTTATCTTTGGCAGTAAAAATTAGTATGTAGCTACACATTTAACGTGAAATGATGCAAAGCTTATTCATTATGCTGAAACAGAAGAATGTTTCATATTAGAAACACGTGCCTTCATGTTTAATATACAGAGTTGGTGTTTCTTTTTTCTTCCTGATGGACTTGGTGCATTTCAGTAAGCCCTTCTGTGCTAAGTTAGGATCTGTCATGGGCCTTTATATTTTTTACTTTGTTTCTCCTTCTCCCTCTTCTCAGCTTTTCCTCTTGGCTTTCTTTTGCTGTCTTTTTTTCCTTCTTTCCATATTCATTAAATAACTTTGAGTTAGGCTTTCCATTAGGTACTGGAGATACAGAGGTGAACAAGACACAGTTCTTGTCCTTTAAATAAAATTATCTTAAATTCATTTACTAAAGAAATTTCAGAAAGTACTGCTTCTCTAAAACTTTGTTTTTAATAAGTGTTAGATACAACACATATACATAACAGATTCAAAGTGTTTAGTAAATACTTTTTCCTATTAAAAAATAATTTGAATTAATCCCAAGAACCTTTTCATCTGCATTGCCCATTGTATGAACTTTCATATTTTTGCTATGTAATTTGTGTATATTATTCTTAGAGATAAATATCCATTCTATTTTGACCAGAAAGCCTAGTGAATTCTCACCTTGGACATAATGGCATTCATGATGAGCTGATAGGATTAATCAGAATTTATATGTGGCTCTAATGGAGATTTCCTCCCTTTCATGCCCAGGTATGCCAGGTGGTGCCAATGCCAGCCAATCACCTCCCCATTGGCAGCACCATGAGCACTGTGCACCTGTCTTCAGATGGCACTTACTTCTATTGGATCTGGTCTCCTGCCAGCCTGAATGAGAAAACACCAAAGGGACATTCTGTCTTCATGGACATTTTTGAACTTGTGGTAAGTTTGAACTTTCTCGCTTGTGTCTTTGCAGAAACATTTCTGTTTGCTTTCTTTTTATATTGGTGTGCAAAGAGCCTAAGAACCTTGCAGCATGTATAGTGTGTTCAGTGTTTCCTTAAAATTGATTTTTCTCTTAGATGCCTTTGAAGGTTTCTTTGTTTGGAGTCATATGACGTAAGTAGAGCCAAACTTTCTGAAGGTTAATCTGGTGACTGGAGATAACATTATTTAATGTGTAGACAGCAGGGTATTTAAGTAGAAATGCTCACGGGCTGTTGGAAATGTGGGACAACATTAGAGTAGCAAGAATGGGTCACAGATAGAAATTGGGAGTCTCTGAGAGAGATAACAACATTGTGACATGTCATTTACCTTTTGGATATTAGCCAAATGCTCACTGAGAGCCAAGTGTGTTCTATCTAGTTGGTGGGAGTACAGAGATGGACAGGGTGGGCAGGGTTCTTGCCCAAATGTGATGTGTATTCAGGCTCCAGAGTTGGGTGGGTTGGGGTGATGGTGGTGGAGAGACATAAAGATTAACCATAAACAAGTGAGCAAATAAATGCACAAGATAATCCTAGTTAGTGAAGGAAAAGTAGTCGTGTACCAGATGAAGAGGCTGGGGAGTAGGTGAGGGAAGAACATTTCAGGAAGAGGAGACCACACATGCAAAGTGTCTGTGGCAGGAGCCAGCATGTTTTAGGGAGAAAAAGTGGGCCAGAGTGGCTGGAATGCAGAGAGAGGAGGAGGGCTTGGGGTAAGGAGCAGCTGGTAGCCACGGCACTTTAGATCCACACCATCCTGCACAGTGGCCGCTAGCCATACGTTGCCATTTAAATTTCACTTGAAATTTAATAAAATTAAAACTGGAGTGGCTTAGCTCTATTAGCCACAGTTCAAGTGCTCAGCAGCCATATGGCTAGTGGCTTCTTCGTTAAACAGCAAAGATATAGACCATTTCCATCATGAAGAATGTTCTATTGGACAGAGCTGGTCTAGGTAGTATTTGTAGAGACTTATAAAAGAACAAATTGCCCCAAGCCAGGTCTGTGACAAAACTTTTTTTCATGAGATAATTTACAGTCTCCTTTTGGGAAGAAATTAGCATTCCTTTAAAAAAAAAAAAAAAAAAAACCAAAGCAATTTTCTAATAAATTATAACAGGATTAAAACATGTTCTGGGAAACCAGTCATCCAACCCAACAGCAGACTATCAGTCAGGAGTCTTGTAACCTTTAACTGTGCATGTTCTTTTCCTAGTGAATCTCACAGTGTCCTCTAACCATTATCTTATAAAATGTCCCTGCCAGAGAGAATCTTTGAATTGGTCTGCTAGAGATTGAACATGTGTTCGTAATTGTCAGAAAAGCTTTTTTTTTTTTTTTCAAATTGGTTTTTAAACAGACTTACCAGCTGTTTAAGGAATTTTCATTTAGGTCTTGGCTGAGCACAGTGGCTCATGCCTGTAATCCCAGTGCTTGGGAGGCTGAGATGGAAGGATCTCTTGAGCCCAGGAGTTTTAAAAAAGGAGCTGGAACTTAAAGTGGCAGTGTTTGTCTGAGATGACGGTGCTCTGGTACACCTCATCCTCCCACCTCAGCCTCCCAAGTAGCTGGGACTTAGCTGTGCATGACCACACCCAGCTAATTTTTGTGTTTTTTTGTAGAGACAGGGTTTCACCATGTTGCTTGGGCTGGCTTCAAACTCCTGAGCTCAAGTGATCAGCATGCCTCAGCCTCCCAAAGTGCTAGGATAACAGGCCTGAGCCACCACACCTGGCCTCCCTCTTTCTTTTCTGATTCCACCTAGCATATTGATTTCCTTTGTTTTAGTTTTTCTTTTAGTTATCTTTGTAATTTACAGTTAAACCTTTATTTCTTGTTCATGAACTCTAGGCAGTATCTCTTATCCCCCTACTTTAGAAGATAAGATGGAGAGTGTAGTGTCCTTTCTCATACTTTTTTGTGGAGAAAGCCAAGTATACATTTAGGGGAATACCAGAGGAAGAGAGATGACTCACCCCACCAACCTTAGAGCATCTTAGCAACTGGGAGATCAGATGTGGTGCAGAGCCATTGTGAGACAAGGTGGTAGAAAGAGTTTACATAAGGGCCTGCAGGCCCCCTTCCTGTTCACACATTTGCATTCAGATGCTGGCTGTCCAGGCCCAAGACTTAGTTATTTTCTGAAGAAACTGAATGACCCGGTTTGAAAAAAGACCTCTCATACTGATGTTGGGGTCATCTAAGGGAAAAGACTTGCCTCTCTGGTGAATCACCCACAAGTGATGTCTTCCAGCAAGCAAGCCTCAACCCTGTCCACAGAATTCCTGATTAGTGCTGAACTGTTAAAAAAAAGAGCAGACAAAATAAAAACCCAAACAAACAAAATTCCAAACTTTGGAGAGGTATGTGTGTGGAGGGGAGGCAAATGGGTTAAAAAAAATAGTGCTAATGATTGAAGCCAGGGGTTCAGCACATAGGAAGCTCATTATTCTATTCTTTCTTCTTTTGTGTATATTGAAAATTTTCCCTAATAAAAAGTTTTAAAATTAAACAAAAAGAGCAGACTACCAAGGGTTACTAGAAAAGTGAGGAAAGCTTCTAATATGAAGGTTAAAAATGAGAAAAAGTTAAAAAACAGCTAACTGGTCTCCCGCCGCCCAAGTTGCTGAAAGGAAAGAAGGCCAAGGAGGGGAAGGTGGCTCTGGCCCCTGCTGTTGTGAAGAAGCGGGAGGCCAAGAAAGTGGTGAATTTTGAAAAAAGGCCTAAGAATTTTGGCATTGGACAGGACATTCAGCCCAAAAGAGACCTCACCTACTTTGTGAAATGGCCTGCTATGTCAGGTTGCAGCGGCAGAGAGCCATCCTCTATAAGCAGCTGAAAGTGCCTCCTGCGATTAACCAGTTCACCCAGACCCTGAACCGCCAAACAGCTACTCAGCTGCTTAAGCTGGCCTACAAGTACAGACCAGAGACAAAGCAAGAGAAGAAGCAGAGGCTGTTGGCCCAGGCTGAGAAGAGAGCTGTTGGCAAAGGGGACATCCCCACTAAGAGACCACCTGCCACCTTGGTAGAGAACAAGAAAGCTCAGCTGGTGGTGATTGCACACAACGTGGATTTCTTCGAGCTGGTTGTCTTCTTGCCTGCCCTGTGTTGTAAAATGGGGTCCCTTACTGCATTATCAAGGGGAAGGGAAGACTGGGCCGTCTAGTCCACAGGAAGACCTATACCACTGTCGCCTTCACACAGGTGAACTTGGAAGACAAAGGAGCTTTGGCTAAGCTGGTGGAAGCTATCAGGACCAATGACAACGGCAGATACAATGAGATCCGCTGTCACTGGGGAGGCAGTATCTTGGGTCCCAAGTCTGTGGCTTGCACCGCCAAGCTCGAAAAGGCAAAGGCTAAAGAACTTGCCACTAAACTGGGTTAAACGCATACTGTTGAGTTTTCTGTATATAAAATTAAAATAATACAAATTTTCCTTAAGAAAAAAAAAAAAAACCAGCTAGCTGAAGAAATAGAGTAAAACTTCACATAAGCACTAACTGCTCTGTGAGATATGTGAAGATATTGCATTCATATTATAAAACAGGAAAGGATGCCTCAAAAAGGAATTATCAGGGAATGAGAAAATTAAAACTATGATTATCCAAATTTGAAAATTAGTAAAAGAGTTAAGAAATATTTGAGAAAGGACAAGTAGATAAAGAACAGTAAATATGAGAGAAAAGATAAAAGATGTGTGGAGCCATCCATCTAAAGTCTTGCTAATAGGAGTTCCAAAAAGAACAGAAAATAAAGAGGATGACATGATCAAGAAATAATATAGGCGGGAGTCTGGGTGCGGTGGCTCACACCTGTAATCCCAACACTTTGGGAGGCTGAGGTGGGCAGATCACGAGGTCGGGAGTTCGAGACCAGCCTGGCCAACATGGTGAAACCCTGACCCTACTAAAAATACAAAAATTAGCTGGGCATGGTAGTGGACACCTGTAAAGCCCAGCTACTAGGAGACTGAGGCAGGAGAATAGTTTGAACCTGGGAGGCTCCCCCAAGGCGGAGCTGAGATCGTGCCATTGCACTCCAGCCTGGGCAACAGGGCGAGACTCCATCTCAAAAAAAAGAAGTAATACAGGCTGGGTACAGTAGTTCATGCCTATAATGCTAGTAGGGCCAAGAAGTTCAAGACCAGCCTGAGCAACATAGTGGGATGCTACCTCTACACATTTTTTTTTAGATTATTCAGGCATGATGGCACACTACTGTAGTCGTAGCTACTCAGGAGGCTGAGGCGGGAGGATTGCTTGAGCCCTGGAGGTCAAGACTGCAGTGAGCTATGATTGCACCACTGCATTCCAGCCTGAGTGACAGAGTGAGAACCTGTCTCAG